TTTTATGGGGATTGCATTGAATCTGTAGATCACTTTAGGTAGTATAGACATTTTCACAATGTTAATTCTTCCAATCCAAGAGCATGGAATATCTTTCCATCTTTTTGTGTCTTCTTTAATTTCTTTCAGGAGTGGTTTGTAGTTCTCATTGTAGAGGTCTTTCACCTCCTTAGTTAAATTGATCCCTAGGTATTATATTTTGTTCATGACAATTGTAAATGGGCTTACTTTACTTCTCTATTAGTTCATTATTTGAGTATATAAATACAACTGATTTGGGGCCATTTATTTTGTATCCTGCAACATTACTGAAGTTATTAACCAGCTCTAGGAGTTTTTTGAGAGAGTCTTTAGGTTTTTTTATATATAGTATGATGTCATCTGCAAATAGAGAAAGTTTGACTTCGTCTTTTCCAATTTGGATTCCCTTTATTTGTTTTTCTTGCCTGATTGCTCTGGCTAGTACCTCCAGTATTTTGTTAAATAGAAATGGTTAGAGTGGGCATCCTTGTCTTTTTCCTGTTCTTAAGGGAAAGGCCCTCAGTTTTTCCCCATTCGGAATGATACTGGTGGTGGGTTTGTCATAAATGGCTTTTATTGTGTTGAGATATTTTCCTTCTATACCTAATTTGTTGAGAGTCTTTATCATGAAGGCATATTGAATTTTGTCAAATGATTTTTCAGCATCTATTGAGATAATTATATGGTCTTTGTCCTTGAGTTTGTTGATGTGATATCACATTTATTGACTTTCATGTGTTGAACCATCCTTGCATCCCTGGGATGAATCCCAATTGATCATAGTGTATAATTTTTTTAATATGTTGCTATATTCTGATTGCTAATATTTTGTGGAGGATTTTTGCATCTAGTTTCACCAAGGATATTGGCCTGTAATTTTCTTTTTTTGTTGTGTCTTTATCTGGTTTTGGTATCAGAATTTTGTTGGCCTCATAGAATGAGTTTGGGAGAGTAGCTTCTGTTTCAATTGTTTGGAATAGTTTGAGGAGAATTGGTATTAACACCTCTTTAAAAGTTTGATAGAGTTCATTTGTAAAGCTATCCGGACCTGGACTTTTCTTTGTTGGAAGATTGCTAATTACTACTTCAATCTCATTGCTTGTTATTGGTCTGTTCAGGATTTTTATCTCTTCTTGGTCCAATCTTCGAAGTTTGTTTGTGTCTCAAAACTTATCCGTATCTTCCAGATTTTCATATTTGTTGTCATACAGATCTTTAAAATAGTTTCTAATGAGTCTTTGTATTTCTGTGGTACTGGTTGCAATGTCTCCCTTTTCATTTCTGATTTTTGTTATTTGGGTCTCCTCTCTCTTTTTTTTGTTAACCTAGCTAGGGGTTTGTATATTTTATCTTCTCAAAAAAACAACTTTTAGTTTTGTTGATCTTTTCTATTGTTTTTGGGGGGTCTCTATTTCTTTTAGTTTTGCTCTTAATTATTTCTTTCCATCTACTACCTTTAGGTTTGGATTGTTGTTGTTTTTCAGGTTCTTCGAGGCATAGTGTTAAGTCGTTTATTTGAAGTCTTTCCATTCTTTTGATGTAAGCATTTATTGCAGTAAATCTGCCTCTTAGTACTGCTTTTACAGTATCCTACAGGTTTTGGTATGATGTATCTTTATTTTCATTAGTTTCTAGAAATTTTTTGATTTCCTATTTAATTTCTTCTTGGACCCATAGGTCATTCAGGAGCCTATTATTTAGTTTCCATGTATTTGTATAGTTTCCAGAGTTTTGCTTATTATTAATTTCCAATTTTAGTCCATTGTGGTCTGAAAAGATACTTGGAATAATTTCAATTTTTTAAAATTTCCTGAGGCTAGATTTGTGACCTAATATGTGGTCTGTCCTGGAGAATGTTCCATTAGCTGATGAGAAGAAAGTATATTCTTTAGTTGTTGGGTGAAATGTTCTCTGTTGGGCGAAATGTATCTGCCAGGTCTAGTTGATCTAATGTGTAGTTTAAATCCTGTGTCTCTTCGTTGATTTGTTGCCTGGAAGATCTGAAAAGGACCAATTTTTATATTAATTTTTGAACTTATAGGCTCTGTATTACACTTGTAATCATTTGGATTGAGTTATAGAACTATGCTTTTGATTTCTTATATATGACATCCTTTTTGCCAATTTATTTGGGAGATTTTCTATTTCCTATTTAACAAGCAGAGAAGACCCTTGTAATTCCGACTTTAAGCAGAAATTATACTCTAGTTTCCTGAATATTTGTGCCCTATGATATGTAATCCCCTGCAAAGCCTCAAGGTTTAGTTTCTGTTTGAACCCCATCCCTTTAAATTTCTACTTCATTTGTGACACATCATAAATTTCTTTTTCTAGGTTTTGAGCTAGGCTGCATATTAAATTATTTTTGTTAGATTTGGACTGTTATTTCTTTGTATTTGCAATCAGGGGAAGAAGGGTTGGTGGGACATTGGGAGGGGCCATCCACATCAGCTCAAGTCATGCTGATAGGAATTCACCACAAGGCATTTAGGCATTAATGTTGTCACATAACATTATAGTAGAAAGACTTACAAGTTTGATGATTCATCACACTTTTTTTTCTCTAGAAGTCAGGCGAGTTGATGAGCAGATAAATAACTACAAGGAAATCCAAGACAAACCTCTGTGGCAAGATGAATTCACAGACAAAGAAAAACTGAAGGATGAAAGTGGTGAAGAATGCAGAGCATGTAGAAAAATCAGTTATCTGAGCACAGACTTTGTTTCTATAAGACAAAGACTTCCTAAATATTACTTATGGGAAAGGTGTTCAAAACATAATTTAAGCTTTCTTAGTGAGAACAGAAGCTGTGTAAGAAAGAAAGATGGTGGATGTAAGGCATATTGGAAATTATGCCTCCATTCTAATCTTGATAAAGCTCAACCTGCAGAGAAATTCTCTGAACCTAATCAACGTGGAAAAGCCCCCCACCATAAGCGAGCCCTTGATAAAAGTCAGAGAATTCAAACTGAGGAGAAACTGTATGAATGTACTGAATGTGGAAAAGTGTTTATGCAGAAAGCAAACCTTGTTGTACATCAAAGAACTCACACTGGAGAGAAGCCTTATCAATGCTGTGAATGTGCAAAAGCCTTCAGCCAGAAGTCAACTCTGATAGCACACCAGAGAACTCATACAGGGGAGAAGCCCTATGAATGCAGTGAATGTGGGAAAACCTTTATCCAGAAGTCAACTTTGATTAAACATCAGCGAACTCATACAGGAGAGAAACCATTTGTTTGTGGTGAATGTTCAAAAGCCTTTAAGAGTTCATATCACCTTATGAGACATGAAAAAACACATATTAGACAAGCATTTTCTAAAGGTATCAAATGTGCTAAATCCAGCCTTATACATCAAAGGACTCATATGGGTGAGAAACCCGTGTGCAGTGAACATGAGAGAGCCTTTGATGAGAAGCCCACTCCCATTAAAGATCAGAGAATTCATACAAAAGAGAAACCTTATGAGTGCAGTAAATGTGGGAAAAGATTCAGAGGAAAGTCACATCTCTCTGTTCATCAGAGAATTCATACAGGTGAGAAACCCTATGAATGCAACATATGTGGGAAGACTTTCAATGGAAAGTCACACCTGTCTGTCCATCATAGAATTCATACAGGAGAGAAACCCTATGAATGCAGACGATGTGGCAAAGCCTTTGGTGAGAAGTCAACCCTTATTGTACATCAGAGAACTCATACAGGAGAGAAACCCTATAAATGCAGTGAATGTGGGAAAGCCTTCAGTGAGAAGTCACCACTGATTAAACATCAGAGAATTCACACAGGAGAGAGACCCTATGAATGCAGTGACTGTGGGAAAGCCTTCAGTAGGAAGTCAACTCTCATTAAACATCAGAGAATTCATACAGGAGAAAAACCCTACCAATGTAGTGAATGTGGGAAAGCCTTCAGTGTGAAATCAGCTCTCATTGTACATCACAGAACTCATACAGGAGAGAAACCTTATGAATGCAGAGACTGTGGTAAAGCCTTCAGTGGGAAGTCAACTCTCATTAAACATCAGAGAAATCATACAGGAGATAAAACATATGAAGATACTTGAGAGTGAGATAATTTCACTAGGAGCTATATATTAAAAGTAGTTTATTATATATGAAAAAATTCATCCTGAGATGTAACCTTATAAATGTCAAGAATGTTAGAATTTCTTTATATATTGTTTACTGTTCATTTAACTTAATAAAAGGCACAAAAGTATAATTCCATATGTACAATAGATGTGATCAATTTTTCACCCAGAATTTTTCACCCATCAATGAAGAACTGTATGTCAAAGAATTCAAAAGGGGCAAAACTAAGCATACCAATGTGCGAAAGCTTTCAGAAAGAAGTTAAATGTCATTGCCTACGAGAGGATTTATGCTGAGGAAAACTAAATTTAATGTGTGTAGAAACCCATGTTAGATATTATGAGAGAATTCATATTCCATATTTTTTACCAAACATTTTGTGGTCAAGGTGCAGAGGTGACAAGCACTCACTTATAAAGTTAAGATATGGTCACTGTGGATCAGAGTAGAGTATGACATTTTTGAAAGAATAGTATAAGGCATAAAATATTGTAGGTAGGGTAAACTCCCAGGTTATTTCTTACATAGACAGAAAAAATCCTTCCTTAAATAGGGTGAGACAGGATGAGACATCAGGTTTCCTGAAACAAAGAAACTCAGGAAAGTATACGTATTATTCATCAATATCTTCATTGCAAAAATGCAGACCCCTTACAGAAATGGCATATAGTAAGCTATGACATATGTCCCTTAGGAACAGTGCATACAACTTAATATTTTCTTTTAAGAAAGTAATAATTTGATGGAGGTAGTAAAAGATTTTACATTTTCAGAGTATCTCCCATAACCTCAGTATTACTTAAAATAGTGAAAAAATAAAATTGAATATCCAATGACGGGTGATTGATAAAAAATTGATATGTCAATAAGGTAAAATAACCTGCACCAATTAAGAATTTTAGCTGGCCAGTTAGCTCACCTGGTTCAGCATGGTGCTAATAACACCAAGGTCAAGGGTTTGGATCCCTGTGCTGGCTAGCTGCCAAAAAAAAAATTCTTTTTTCTAATTTTATTACCTTAGAGGATTTTGGAAAATGTTTATAACAAACTAAGTGAAAAAGCAGATTATAAAAAATTGCACCATATGGTTTACATTGTAAAAATAGGAAGGATAGGCACCATTATATCAGTGATGGTGGTAGAAATACAGAAATTTTATGATGAGTAAAATTATATGCACATAGATATGTATAAATATAAACTTTGTATTATATCTATTTTAGGGGTGTGTGTGTGTATAGACACATACAGCATAGAGCTAGAAAGGAAATACACCAAATTATTAAGAAAAGTAACATTTAAATATGGGGATTATTGATTTTTCATTTTTTTAAATGTAGTCTCCAGAAACTACCAATAAAATATGTTTAATCTCGTGTATGCTTGATGATTCTGTCTTCCCATCCATTTTCTTAAGAAAATGTGAATTATTTCCAATAATCATTTCCTTTTTTACTTAGTTTTTAATTTTCCTGGAGTTTCTACTCATCCTTTCTTTTCTTGTTTGTTTTTCTGGGGTCTTAAACATGCCATCTAATCTATGACACCATTTTTCACATATGTATACATATTGCCTATTTATTTGATGGTCTGAGTCTATGGTTTTGATAAATTTTCCACCTTGAGAATTGGTGTCCTATGATTTTAATATCTGTATGTGATTTTTCTAATAAAAATAAAAACCTCTCCGTAGGTTTTTACTCTATAGCCACAAATCCTGTGACATAAGTTATCAGTTAACACATTTTCCAGATGAGAGCTATAGTGAATGGTTAAATGTACCACAGTGGGGACAAAACTGACTTCTGAAGAAAGCTCTTTTCACTGATATTTGTGAGTGCTACTGAATTTTCATACTCCCTCTCTTGTCCCTGTCTTGTCAGCAGCTGTGGCAGACACCCTAGGTGTCTACGTGCTATATAATCCCTTCCCCTGATGGTGGACAGAACTGAGACTGCTTCTAGCCAATAGATCATGGCAAAGGTGATGGGATGTTACCCCATGACTATGTTATGTTATATAACACTCCATCATAACAGACTGGAGAGAGATTTTCCTTGCTGGCCTGATGAGTTTAGCAGCCATGTTGAAGAAGCCCATGTGGCAAGGAACTGCAGCTGGCTTCTAGTACTTGAGGGAAATCTGAACTAAAACAGTGTGACTTGAGTGGCAAGATCCTGGAGACAAGAGAAGTCAAGAAAAACAAGTCCAATAGACAGAGGTACTTTTTCTCACAAGGAGTTCACTGATTGGTAAATAGTATAGAACGGATTTGGAGATACCCAGTGGCAAAGTGCAGAGCTTTCAGCAGAATTATGTGGCAAGGAAATCAAACTTGGAGTTCAGATTCCACTAGTGATGATGGGCCCTGGTAAATACTACAGGCTTTCAGTTGGAACCTCTGTGGAACTATACTTAGGAATTAGTGGGGAGTAAATATAGAGCTCATCTGAGAAAGATTGGTACCCCATATTGAATTAACTCTTTAGCTAACTGAATTAAGGTTATTTTCCCATACTATAATTGTCAGAAACTAAAGCTCATCTAGAGTTTCTACAATTTCTCATGTACAGTGGATTCAGTAAAAAATTGCCAGGCATTCCCAGGCTCAACTAAGAAAAAAGTGGAAAGTAGAAGCAGACCCGCAGGTAATTCAGATACAGGAGTTACAACTCATGAACTTTAAAATAACTAAATAATATCAAGAAAATATATGAGAAAATTTATAAGAAAATGTGAATTATTTCCAATAACATTTGCTTTTTTTGCTTGGTTTTTAATTTTCCTGGAGTTTCTACTCATCCTTTTCTTGTTTTTCTAGGGTCTTGAACATGCCATCTAATCTATGGAATTTCCCTTCTCTTTGGTATTAGGATTCTAGATAGCTATCAACTTTGAGGGGTGGGACTGGGAAAGAGCAAAGGGACTGGGTCAGTAGCAAGCTATAAACCTTTTCTCTAAAGAATAGTTATCAGCAGAAAATGATATTGATTTGCTCCAAAATCCTAGTGGACTGTACTGTGACTCACACACAGTGAGTTTCCAGTCTACATACTTCATTTCTACCTGCCACAGACATTGCCAACACCATATGATATGCTGGGTCCTATGACCCAAGAGACAGTGTGCATGACAGACTAGACCTATTTAAAAGTGTATTCTTGCTCTGGGACACACTGAAAATTGGCAAATCTGTGAGTTATTCAGTAAGTGGACTGCAGCAAGGTTTATGGTGCCTAATACAAAGAGTGTTTTCTCACAGGTCATATAATTCTCTCTTGCAGATTCCATGGCCTTCCTCTAAAATCCCTAGGATGTCATTCTCACACTGAATCTTTTTCCACCACTGACACCTTCAACACCACAGAGTCAGCCAGATCATATGATCTAAGCAACAAGGCTGCTTGCACTACAGCCTGGACTTGCTGCAGAGCCTTTCTTGCTCTAGGCCCTACTCAAAGCTGGCAGTCTTCTGTGTCACCTGGTATATGGGCTAAAGAAGCATTGCTAGGTGTGGAATATGTTATCTCCAGATCCCAAAGAGGCATACCAGGTGCTGTATTTCTATTTTGTGAAGTTAAACTTTGTGTGGTTGAGCCTGTGGTAATCTACAGTCATTCTCTAGGATCCAGATGGTTTCTGCAGGGGCCAGAATAATGAATTAAACAGAAATATGATAAGGTCCACCACTCTTTCATCCTTTAAGTCTTTAATGGTGGCACTAATCTCTATTATCCCCTAGAGTGCAATACTGTTTTTAATTTACCATCTTGGTTGATGAGGGAGGGAGGAGGCAGAGGTTTCCCCATTATGAAATACAGGCCAAGGACCCAATGTGGAGATTAATCCAGCTGCCAAGTATATGAACTCCAATTAAACACTTCGAGACAAGAAATGACCACTGGTAGGTCTGCAGATGCAGTGGGCCATTGTGAGTCAGATTTATGCCAGGACTCCACTTATTACCTGGACCCAATAAGCTCCGACTCTGTCAGGAGGGCCATGATGATGCTTTGAGTATCTGGGTATTGATGTCAACTCAGAAAGCTGTGTCTGATAGTCCTAAAAATTTCTGGGTATTCACCTTTCCCCAGTGTATAGTCACCCACCCAAATAAATGGTCATACATTCCTTTGGGGAGGGTCTAGGGTAAGTATTATAATATATGCCTGCCACAATGTTATAGGGTCCTTCCTCTGAGGGACATGGGCAAATTTCCAGAAAATTGGTTCCTGATCTGAAGATTGGCTCAAGTCTGAGACCTGAGCATGGGACCCTCATTTTTTAATGAGACAATTTCCCTCAGACTCCTGCTCTTTGAATCTTGTTTTTTTCTGATTGTAGTATTAAATAGCTGCCCTATTGGCTGCCCATCAGTTTTACTCCTAGGGATGCCAGGCTTATCAGCAAACCTGATACAGCCAAGGAAAGAATTAATGAACTTGAGGGAAAGTGTTTAGGATTTCACCATTTGATATGGTGTTGGCTGTGGCTTTTTGTAGATGCCCTTTAACAGACTGAGAAGTTCCCTTCTATTCCTAGTTTACTTAGAGGTGTTTTCTTTTTTCATGAATGTGTATAATTTTTGAGAAGTGATTTTCCTACAACCATTGAGATAATTATGATTTTTCTTTATTCTGTTAATATATTTAGTTAAATTGAGTTCTGAATGTTAAATCAATCTTGTATTAAATGGGGTGACTCTAGAAATCAAATTCTCCTCTCTCCCAAGGGCTAGTTTTTGCTTTTGTTGTAGTTGTTTGTTTAGCAACTTTTCTGAACTAATTTTGTAAAGTCTATTTTCCTTGTTGTGTATGGTCACTGAAGTCTCTGTTCAGTTAGTTTAGCAATCTTCTAATTATTGAATGGAGATTTCCTTAAATGCCTGGAACCAAAAATCTCCCAGTCTTTGCAGAGAGGCTCTGTGTTTTGGGGCACACCTTCAACATGCAGCCAGTTTATGACTATGTCTTAGCCTTCACTTCCTGCTTGTGCAGAGCTCAAGATCAGTCACAGGTGAGAGCTTAGGGCCTGCTCAGATTCTTCCTGAGATTTCTTCCAAAGCGTTTTAGTTAGGCTGTTGTTTGCTTTAACTGTCATCTAGTACCTCAACAGTAACTAAAACATTTGTTTGTAAATAT